CTGAGGAACGGGATTTCTCAGGGAGACAGGCAGGAAATTTCCCAGCGGGCTCTGCCTGCAACACACCCCCCAACACAAACCTCACAGCACCCCCCACCCTGGCCCCGCCGCCCAGTGATCCTGATATAGTTGAACCACTGGTTTCTCAGCCCCTTTTCTCCTATTGTTTATGATTCTTTTCTGGTTCTTGCTTATTTCTCAGTCTACAAGGTGTGATAGTATCATCTTAATTCCACCCACACGGGAGGGGAGGACTAACGAATTGCTGTACCTGCTGCAACTCTGAGGTCAGTGGATGGAAGGAATCCAGCATAACCCGGAGAGAGCCACCCGAGCAGCATCGGGGAAAACTAGCTGATCCCAGGCAGGGACAAAGGAAATGCTGAGAATGACTGTGCATCATTAATTACTTTCTTTGAAGTCCTCAACGATTGTTTTCTAGCATGGCAGTCCACGAACAAAAGCTAGCTATCCGTATTTAATGGACAAAACAGAGATTTAGCAACATCTCCCATGCATTTTACAGAAAGTTACAGGATTTGGAGAAATGAAAGGAGTCTCATTTGCTTTTCTTTCCTTAAATCTGATGCCAGGGAAGTCTGGGCTCAGCTGGGGCCTTCTGTACAGCAACAAGGCCTGCACGGGCTGGTGCTCCTCGGGGCTGGCTTCCGCGCCAAACTCCGCCCAGCCGGGCAGTTCCCCCCCGGGGCCTGGCTCCTCGGCCAGCCCCGGACGGGCAGGGCAGGGCACAGCGAGGCGGGCAGCTCTAGGCCCACAGGCTGATGGGAACCGCGTGAGTCTTGGTGCCGTGGGGCTGCTGTGGCTCTCCCCATCCATCTCAACTCCCTAAACTGCCGCCCACCCCTGCCCGCTGGGGAGTCCAGTCTACTGAATCCACTCACTCGTTCATCAACTACGAGGGGCAACCCTCCCAAAGCCCAGAATGGTCTTCTGGAGGGCGGGCCCTTGTATTGCAGGCTTCCCCTGCTAGGTGAGTGTTCTAACAACCTATCTGTATCAGAGTACCGGCTGGTGTTGTTGTAAGAGGCTGCGTTCGGCTTCAGTGAATTTTTTTGGAAGACTCTTCCAACACGTGTGCCCGTATCATGATGGGTGATTTACGAGTGCACCTGCCCACACCGCACTGAGTGTTCAGCAGTTTTTGACCAAAACGGCGTGACCCCCGTGCCCCACCCTCCCTATTCACCCAATCTCACCCTGAGCAACTTTTTTTTTGTTTGTTTCCCTGATGGAAAAAGCCCTCAAAGGGAAATGTTTTGCCAATGTGGAAAAAGTGAAACAAAAAAACAGCAGAAGCACAAAAAGGCATCAAAATCAACAAGTTCAAATACTGTTCTGAGCAGTGGAAAAAAAGTCTCGATAGGTGTAGTACATCAAATGGAGAGTACTTAGAAGGTGACTGAAGTTTAAACATGTAAGAATACATACACAAATTTTTTATAAATAAATTCTGGGTTTTTTTCAGGTCCGCCTCATATGTATTGAAGCCTATACTACCTGCTGTAGGCCATTCTATTGAACAAAATAGTTAAATCCCTCCTCTCAGGCACAGACATTCCAATGCAGGGAGAGATACTAAGCGAAGAAGAAACACAAACATTGCATCAGCGACCGTAAGTAGCAGGAAGATATGGAACAATGCACAAGCTGGGGTGGAGGGAGATGGGGTGGTATAAATGGGTGCAGTTTTACAGGAGTGGCCGGAAAAGGCCTCTCTGAGGAGTTCACATCCTGGCAGACGTCTCCCTGACAGAAGCGAGGGAGCGAGCAAGACAGATATCAGAAGGACCAGTGTCCTGGGCAGAGGAAACGGCTTGAGCAAGGACCTCGAGCCCGGACTTCGCTCAGTGTCCCAGGAACAGCCAGGAAGCCAGCACGCCTGGAACAGGGCGGGCGAGGGGAAGGGAAAGCGGTAGGAGATGGATCAGGGAGGGGGCAACAACAATAAGAACAGGCTGGCCACGACTTAAGCAGGAGGCCAGCTCAGTCAGTCAGCCACTGCACATCCAGTGCCCTGTGCCCCTGGTCAGCCCTCCACATCCCCGTTGGGCTGAGGGGAAGAGCACAAAGTGGTAACAGTTGCAAAAGACAGGGGCACTTTAACATCATTGTCTTCCCCCCGCCCCCCGACAAAAGTAATAGCTGTAGATTTAGAGACTATGGAAAATGCAGAGAAGAATCATAACATGGATGCAGAAAAGTAGTTATCAGGCGGCTGGGGTTATCAATGTTTCCTTCAGTTTTCCAACCTTTGCCTCATGCTGCTATAGTATGTTTATAAGAAACATAAATTTCTTAGAAAGAAACTTAACCAAAAGCTTTTCTCAAAATAAAAGAGCATGGCACCCTTTCAGTTGGTGCAGACTTTGGAACAAGAAGAGAAGCCACTTGTTCTCTAAAAAGCACAGACTTTGGAGTCACTGGAGACGGGGCCAATGTTCTGGCTTTGCCACTCACTGCTGTGGGAGCTCAGGTCAGTCACTCACCCTCTCTGAGCCTCAGTTTCCTCATCCTAAAATAGGTATCACACCCATGGGATCTTTGTGAAGAGTCGAGATGACGCATGGCAAGCACCTGGCACATGGAAAGCACAAAACAAACAGTGGCCAGTCCGAGCTTCAGCAAGGTGGCAGCCTTGCTCAGTCAATGGAGACTGAGCCTCTGCCCTGTGCTGAGTACATGCCCTGTTCTGGTAACACAGCAGTAAACAAGGCAGAAAAGTAACTTAGTCTTTATCTTCTTTCCCCAAATTCCAATGGTCCAAAAGAGAGCATCAATCTAGGAAACACAGGAACTATGTTAACATCCCTCTGAATGAGAGCAAGGTGCTGCGGTCCACAGTGCACGCTGGAAGAGCGGGCAGAAGGTACGTCGCCAGGACACAGGGCTGCTGTGGTGCCACTTTGCAGGGATCTGCTCAGCTCCCCAGGATCTGTGCCTTCTGCCTTTGCTGCTGCCGTCCCTGCTGCACAGACAAAGCCAGGAAGCCCCCTCCTCTGGCCGAAACCCTAGGAGTGTCACCATTGTCATAGAGAGTGACCTGACTCGAAACGCACTCCTTGAAGCCAGGGACATCTCTCGGCCCTCGGGATTAATTACTGCGCGTTCCGGGGCTGTTCACCAGCCACACGGCTCAGACCAAAACAGTCCCGTCACAGCAGACAGCAGATACTGTTCCTGACGTGCAATTTTTAATAAAAGCACGGAACGTCACGTTGTCCTCTCTGGTAGCACCGCTTCCCAGCAGAAAAGTGATAAAGGTTTAAACAAAAGGGACGTCTGATCCCCTTAGGGAAATTAACCATTTCTGCAGAAACTGAGAACCATTCCAGACAGCCGGCTGGGGCTGGACTGATAGCCACGGAGTCACGGCAGCCACCACGTGAGCGCCTCTGTGGGGAGAGGGACAAACTCTGGGCTCAATGCATTTATCACAGCAGTCCTGCCAGGCAGGTACCCCCGGCCCCGCTGTTCGACAGGGAAACCAAGGCCAAGCCAGAATTATGACTTACCCACCTGGAAAGAGGCTAGGGAGCCTTGGGACCCACATTTGGGGCTTTTTAAAAATATCTTTCTCAATCTGGTTTTTCCTCATTATTAGAAACAATTGGACAAAAGCTTCCAGAAATGTAACTGGCCAGGATACCCAGCAATGTAGTTCTGTTCAGGGAACTTGACGGGTTTAGAGGGAGGGCCATTTGGTTGACTGCCTGTTTCCTCCCCCCACCCACCTGACTCTGGAACAGCTGGTGCCCAGAGCACAGTGACTTCAAACCACAGGGTCACCCTTAGAGTGGGTGGGATCAGGGAAATGTTTCTCCAAGTGTAAGAAGCCAAATTTACCAGGAACGTATTTTTGAAATAGAAATCTGACTGTTACACTTGGCAGGCCTCCCCCTGCCCTGCACTTACTAACCTAACAGGAATGAATTGTCCCTTGACATGGATTCTACAGAATAATCTTTCATAAACACGTGCTCACTCGACCTGCCAGGCAGGGAGGGGCCCTGAAATTTCCCATCAGGAAGCGACCACCACCACCAGCCACACATTCCCACCAGCCCCTCTCGACCCCAAACTCTGGAGAATTCTTGCAATTTTCCTCAGGGTTTACTTGCTGTGAGGAGAATACCAAGCGGGTCCATTGTGTTGCGGACATTAAAAACCAGCCAAACTCTCCAGATTTGAGGTTTTAAAGAGACACCTTAGAAAGGCAGAAAGAGCTAGTGGTCCGGGGTTCCAGTTCTGGCTCGTGGGGCGACTTGGGGAAGTCGTTCCCCTTCTCTTGGCCTCAGTTTCCCTTTCTGTAAAATGAGCAGGGTCAAGGTGAGCCCCAGGTCAGCACCAGGGAAGATGTCGCAGGCTCCCCAAGGCGTGACAAAGGAACGGTCTCTGGGCCCTCTCGCCTCTCTTCGAGGCAGTTTTCCCAGAGCGCCTTTTCTGCTTGGAGCCCCACTCCGGCAGTGTCTCTGGACCGCCAGAGCGCAGACTTCCCGGCCAGGCCAACACCCCGCCCGGGTCATCCGACGACATCCTCCTCCCGGCGCGGCCCTCGTGCTGGTCTCCGAGTCCCAACGCACTGCCCCGCATCCCTCCGGTGGAACCCCGCCCTCCCCCAGTCCCCGAGCCGCGCGGGCGGAGGGCGGGGCCGGGCGGGGCGGGGCGCGCGGGAGGCGGAGCCGAGCCGGGGAATCCTGCTCCGGGCGAGCGCCGGACCCCGCAGAGCAGCCGTGCCGTCCGAGGGCCCCCGCGCCGGGGGCGGCGGGGAACCCCAGAGCAGCCGAGCCGGGAAGGATCCCCGCGCTGAGCGGAACGCTGCCGCCGCCTCCGCGCCGCCCCCGCGGGCTGGCAGGTGCCCGGCCACCCTCTCTCCGCCTGGCCCCCAGCTCCCGCGGTCCCGCCGTCAGCTCGCCAGCCAGTCTCCCGCGCGCCATGCAGCCGCCGCCGGCCCCGCGCGCGTAAGGCATCCGCCGCAGGCCATGCTGCCCCTGCTCGCCGCGCTGCTGGCCGCCGCCTGCCCGCTGCCGCCCGCCCGCGGCGGGGTCGCGGACGCGCCGGGCCTCCTCGGGGCGCCCCCCAACGCCTCCGTCAACGCGTCGTCCGCGGGCGAGCCCGCCACCCCGCGGCTGCTGTCCTCGGCGGCTGCCGGGGCCCCCGAGCGGCCGGGCCCGGAGGAGGCGGCGGCGCCGTGCAACATCAGCGTGCAGCGCCAGATGCTGAGCTCGCTGCTCGTGCGCTGGGGCCGCCCGCGGGGCTTCCAGTGCGACCTGCTGCTCTTCTCCACCAATGCGCACGGCCGCGCCTTCTTCGCCGCCGCCTTCCACCGCGTCGGGCCGCCGCTGCTCATCGAGCACCTGGGGCTGGCGGCCGGCGGCGCGCAGCAGGACCTGCGCCTCTGCGTGGGCTGCGGCTGGGTGCGCGGGCGCCCGCCCGGCCGCCTCCGGCCCGCCGCCGCCGGGGCGCCCACCGCGCTGCCCGCCTACCCCGCGGCCGAACCCGCCGGGCCGCTGTGGCTGCAGGGCGAGCCGCTGCACTTCTGCTGCCTGGACTTCAGCCTCGAGGAGCTGCAGGGCGAGCCGGGCTGGCGGCTGAACCGTAAGCCCATCGAGTCCACGCTGGTGGCCTGCTTCATGACCCTGGTCATCGTCGTGTGGAGCGTGGCCGCCCTCATCTGGCCGGTGCCCATCATCGCCGGCTTCCTGCCCAACGGCATGGAGCAGCGCCGGACCACCGCCAGCGCCGCCAGCGCCGCCCCCGCCGCCGTGCCCGCGGGGACCACCGCCGCCGCCGCCGCTGCCGCCGCCGCCGCCGCCGCCGCCGCCGCCGTGACCTCGGGGGCCGCGACCAAGTGACCCGCCCCGCGCCTCCCTGCGTCCGTCCGGGGTCCGCGCTCTCGGGGGCCTTTCCCGCCGGCAGCTCGGCCCGTGTGCTTCGTGCTGTAGTGACCGTTAGTTCTTCCGGGGAGGGGGTCGCCAGAAAGGTTGCGGCGCGTTTGTAAAGCAAGGTGTGTGAGGCGCTCGGGCTCCGAAAGGATGCCACCAGCCCTCGCGCTTGTGAGGGGTGGGGTCCGCCGCTGGGAAGACGGAGAGGAGGGACTTGGGCCCTTTCCCCTCCATTGCATCCCCTGCCCTCCCCCCTCCCGCACCCACGTGCCCTAGATTCATGGCAGAAAATGACCAAATCCTGTGTATTTGTTTTATATATTTAATAACTGTTTTAAATGAAAGTTTTAGTAAAAAAAAAAATCAAATTGCTATTGCTGTAGTTAAGAGAAGTTCTTTGTATCCAAACAGTATTTGAAGTTTGTTTGTTTTTTTAAATTTATTTAAGAGGGGGCGGGGCCTGGGAATGATTTAACACCGATATATTGTTACCGCTGAAAATGAACTTTATGACCCTTTTCCAAGTTGATCTATCCAGTGACGCGTGGCCTGGTGGGCGTTTCTCCTTGTACTTCTGTGGTTTTTTGTTTTTTGGTTTTTTTTGGCTTTTAATACAGACATTTTCCTCCAGAGTTGCGTATGTAGCTTTTTTTTATTTGACTGAAGAAAAAGAATCTAAGAATTATAAGGTGTTCCCGGGAAACATGGAGCGAGGGACTGCCAAGAAGTTAGAAAAGGGCTCATTCTGGCTCCCTTTCCCGGCTGGGAAAGGTGGGAGATGGGGACAGGTTCCTTGCCTGATGGCAATGGCTTTGCCTGGCACTATGCTGCCCCCCTTCCCATCCCTCAGCTCACTGCCATTTATCATGGTGGCAAACAGGGTTTTCGTGTGATTTATCGCTTTCCCCACTGACCCAGGCTCTGCAAAGCATCCAGTAAAGTACCAAAATGGAAAAATCAATACATATTCTGAGCGGGTGCCTCACGGAAATGACTCATTTTAAAAGCATGTAGATTTCCTTTTCATTTGTGTAAACTTGAGCACATGAGCACATTTCAGAAGCAGGCCTTAAAACCAGAGATATTATTTTGGCATTAAGATTTGTTTTTTATCTCCACCCGAGGATATTTTTTTCATTGCTCCTAGAGATACAGAGAGAAACATCAATGTGAGAGAGAAGCATCGATTGGTTGCCTCCCATGCTCACCCCGACCGGGGAGCACAGGTCCCTGGACCTAGGACCGAACCCAAAACCTAGGCAATGTGCCTAACAGGGAATCGAACCCGCAGTCTTTCGGTTACGGGATGATGCTGAGCCACAGTGGCCCAGGCAAGATTATTTTTAAAGGTAAGTTCTCGGGGACTAAATAGTCAACGATCACAAGACTGTCCTCACTCCCAGTGTCCATGTGTGTCTGCGGAGTAGTTCCCGATTCACCCTGCTTTTCAGAAGAATAAATGAGAAGTCCTTAAAGTGCCTTCACAACGAAACCACCTCAACAGTGCTCTCCCTCGCTCCCTCTCCCCACCGCCAAGTGAGTACTTTGTACTGCTCTAAACCTCCAGCTCTCAATGTGTGGCCCCCGGGCCGGCAGCATCAGCACCCTCTGGGAGCTTGTTAGAGATGCAGGCCGGGGGCCCCACCCTGGATCTGTGGAGCCAGAAACTCCGGGCCAGAGCCCAGCAGTCTGTTTTAACAAGCCCCCCCTCCCATGGATCCTGATGCATTTCAAATCGGAGAACCTTCAACATACGTTGCCTCCTTTTAGCTATCGTATGGAAGAAACAGGAGCCTTTTTTCATGGGACTCTATCTGAAGGAGAGGCTGGGCCATTGTCCTGCAGTGTCAGCTGCCCCTCTGGCTCTTGGCGTCCAGGGCTCTCTCCGACGCCTCTCAAGCATCGAGGAAGTGCGACTAATGCAAATCCCTAGCTTTGCAATTCCCTGTGAATCTTCTGCCCCAAAGCAGGGCGGGTTGTGAACTACCTCGTCTTCCCCCCTGCAGTTACCGGCAGGAGAAAACCAATAATTGCTAACCGTGGTCTATTTTAATACAATCATAGCATCTGTACGTCTGGAAGACGCATTACGTATTCCTGGTTTAACGCACACGCAGCCACTCCCTGCTTTTTCCCCAGGCGGAAGCTGAGGCTCAAAGACCCCACATTTCTCTTACAATCACACCGCCACAGGCAGACAAAGCAGCAGAGACCAAACCTGGGTCTTCCGCCGCCCTGGCTGGCCTTCCTTCATCACCGGAAACCTCATTTCCTAAGAGAATGAGGAGCTGGCCACTCAAAGTCTGCTTTCTGTTGATCCACCCCTGTCCCCATCAGATTCTAGGAGCCACAAACCCAAAGGGGCCAGGGAGCATTAATTTTAAATGAGACCCTTGGCACGTAACATAACTTCCATTTGCATGCCTTCTTTGGGTGTCCCTAAGAATACTTTCTTAGGGCGGGTTTGAAATACCCGTATCTATTGCTAGAGCAATAGACCTTCCTCAAAGAAGATTTTCAGAATTGCCAGAGAGCCTGTGGGGGGAGGCATGTGTGTACAAACACACGTCCCTGTACACATATGTATAAATCTGATGGACTGGTTAGTTCTCCTTTATCCTGATGTTGGCTGCTTCCTGAGAGCTGGAGCTCCAAGCGGAGACTGCCAACAGAGGATAGAGCCTGGGTCCTTGTGGTCACTTTAGATTGGGGCCATTCAGTGGGTGAGGGAAGCCAGGGGCAGGCAGCCTCAGCTATGGGGTCTGCGCCCCCTGGTCAGTTCGATTTGCATCGTCTCAGCGGTGAAACCCTTCTGAGTATGCAGTTCACTGAAGGCCGACCACTGCTTCCGCAGGAGAAGCATGCAGACGCAGCCCGTGTGCACACAAGTGCGGGGTCCCCTGAATCCAGCCCACTGTTAAAGCCTTCTAGGGACAGCTCAAGTTACTGGTGACAAAGCTCAAAAAGGAATTGTGCTGTTCTTAACGGTTTTTAAAACTTTTCTTTATTATACAAGTGCTATGACAGAAAATGAGAAACCTCCCTTCATAAGATCAATGAATTGATATCACAGCAACAATCCCAGCACCCATAAGGGACCGTGGCTAGTATTTATCAAAAATGTTCAAATGCATGTATTATACATATTTCAACCCAGCAGGCGCCTCCTTGTAAGGGCTCTGTTTTCCCCACTCAGGGCCCCTTTGGTGGTCCCCTCCCTCTGCAGAAGGTAATGGAAGGCTTCTCAGGGCAGGTGGTTTATGAAGGCTGACACATGGGGATATTACAGACATGCGGGTCAGAGGTCAGCTGCACAGGATATTGAAATCCATCTGAGGACCACAGGCCCGGTGGAGATGAGGGGTGGGGGAAGGTGTGCTGTATCTTTCCCATCCCAGGTTTATCACTTGCAGACACATTTCAATGCCGGACTGAATTTCCTGTCCCTTCTGGAGAAAGATCACCACTCTCCAGTTCGAGGTCCCAGACGTGGCTGATAAGGAAGGGAACAGAAAGTAACTTTGCAGGATGAACAATGCGATTCATCTCGCGTCATAACCACAGAGCTGCCTTGCAGCACCTGGGGTCTATCTGATGTCTTTTGTGCAAAAATGAATTCTGAGATTCAAAAAGCAGGACGGATATTGTGTCTGTACGACGCTGCCCCAAAGGCTGTCGCAGCTCCACGTGGCTGGGTAACCACCGAATTCAGATGCCTTGTTGTTGGGTGGGTGCCCTGGACAGACCACTCAGAGGGAGGAAGGAGACCATCAGGGGGGCAAAATGTATTCAGCATCACTGGCAATAAGTGGACTGTGTTGAGGTTTTCTGTGATGGATCTCGTCCAGGATTGGGTTCCCTAGAAGCAGAGCCTGGGATGGAGGGACTCATACAAGGGATTATTGCGGCAGGTGGGGGCGGGGCGGGGCGCACCCTGGAGCAGGAATTACACCTCAACGTTGCCCCACCGGAAGGGAAAGGGCTGGCCTTTTGTCTTCCCATTTCAGCCACGGGGCAAGATTGTGGTGCTGGGGGCTGTTCAGCCTCCCTGGCAGCTCCCCTTCACCGCGCCCAGTTCTCCAGAGGAGCAGCAGCTGCGAGACTGTGGGCGCCCACGCTCACAGCAGCTGGGGGGCGGTCGGCAGCCTGCGGAGGGAATCTGGGCGGGGCCCCACTGCAGTCACCGCAGACCTCGCGTTGCTCTTGAGACCCATTCCCAGGAACGGCGATGGCGGGGTGGGGAGCCAAGCTCCACCGTGCGGGCTGAACTTTAAGCTCCCAATCTGGCCTGCGCGCCGACCTCCGGGCCTTTGCCCGTCTCTGGGTGTCCTGCCCTTGTGCCGACTGAAATGCAGCGCGCTGTGTCATGCTGGCCCTCTTTGATAAAGCCAGAAGTCCCTGTCCTGTGTCTGTGTGCAAAGTCCTGGCTCCCCAGTACTGCATTATTAGAAGGGAAGTCCCACAGTATTAGTATTGATATTATTGGTATTAGATACAGTAACAGTATCCCTGCGGCTGCCAGCAGACTGGTAATAACATGAAACAGGACACCAGGGCACCTCCTTTGCCATCCTGAGCTGTGTGGCCAGGGGCAAAGCCCTCGCCTTGGACCCTTGGGTTCCTCCGCTGCAGAACAAGGTTGCTGGGCAGGCCAGGCCGGGTGGCTCCAGGCCCTCAGCTTACGTCCTGGCCCCTCGCCACCTCCCAGGTCTCTCAGGCACAACTACAGAGAAACACCCCCAGGTATTTCTTCACCAGGCAGCCTGAATCAGGGGCCAAGGCCACTGCTTTTTCTAGGTGACTTGAGGGGGAAACATGATACAAATAAGAAAATGGCGGTCATAAGGGTTATTGTCACTGGATTGTCTAAATTGGCTATTTGTGTGGGTCTCATAATCTATAAACTTATGATTTTTGCATTCCTCTATTCACATGGCTACTGCCATGAAATAAAGCTATTTTAGGCCAAT